GTTGCTAAAAACTGACGGTAGTCGGTTCGGTGACCTCCCGTGGGGGTCACACCGTGTGACGGCATTCTGACTGACATGCTGCGGATTAACAGCATTCCCACTTTTTCCTCGGGGAAGGAGCGCGAAAGGTCGTCGTTAGCTTGTGGATGTTTCTGTTTCTCTGAACTCGACAGAAATGAAATGTATCGACTTTGTAGTCGAAACTTTTAGCACAGAAACTGATCATTTGATGGGAAAAAGTTGTGAAGTTTCAGCGAGTAACTGGATCAGTGACTTCAGGAGTTTTAACCGTAAAATTACACAAATTGAAGCTATGAAAATAAACTTGCTTGTTGGAAACATGCCAGTTTCGAAAAAAAAAGAAAAAAGTCTGAGGTAATTTTTCAGCCAGATCAAAATAGATGTATTTCACAAAACTGCAAAGGAAACGTTTTTTGTTTTTGTTTTTTTTCCGCATCCCATCAGTCAGCTGATGAACAGCCGGCTGTTACTACTGGTGAAAACCACAAAGACGAAGACAGGAAGTGGTACAAAATGGTGGTTCATTTTTGTTTTTCTCAGATATGTGCAGCTGGACCCACCAGACCTCTCGCAGTGTTGCACAGCTCACAAAAAGCTTTGTCACTCCAACGTGTTAAATCCATAGCTCTTCCGTAAATTCCCCAGAATTTAGCATACGGGTTTGTTGCTCCAACGCCTGAATAAAACGCCGACAGCTGACAGCTGATAGATGACTAGAACCAGCGCAGAGGATGAATCATAAATATATTTTATGTAACTGTTTAAATCTGTCGCTGCTGTGGCTTCTCATGACTTATCACGTCACTCACGCAGGGATTTGAATTTCATTTCTTATTGGGCGGAGTTACAAAACTGTGTGTTTTTTCGACATTGGCAGAATATAGACAAAGATTTGCACACATTTGTTGTGGAAACGCAGCTGTAGACTTCAAGCTAAGTGTTGTGCTAGTTTAAGTACTACTTGTGAAAAAATGGGATGGCTAATGGGAGCACTAAAATAAAACTTTCTCCTATTAATGTGCATGTCCAGTACGAATATATACATATGTATTTAAATATAGGCGCTCTTTGTGGCTTGCAGATAATAAGTTATTCAATCTTTGCCACTACGAAGGCTGATTGTTTATTTTTATTGTTGTTTGAGAAATTGTTTAGCATTTTCTGCTCAACAGTAGAGCTCAGAAAGGGCCAACGTACGTCACGCTCCGGTCGACCAGAACCTCATCTGGGCCGACTTTATAGGTATGAAAAGGCAGACCCAGACGTAAACCCGGTTGCCTACAGTCATGAGAGTTGAGCACACATGTGTGAAGCAACCCAGCCAGACATGTGAACATGAAAGTGTTTGGACAGTGAAGTATGAGCAAACAGCAACGGATCGATTGGGACATAGTGGCTTAAAGCTTAAAGGCGAATAACCGGGTAATTCCAGTTGACAAGAGCCTAAGACGTGATGATGTGTGCGAAGACGGAGGAATCTACGTGAGTCTTCGTTGACGAGTCGATTCGTGTTTTGCATGTGGACATGCATGCAAAGTATGACTGGATTTTTGCTTTTGGCCTCTTATGCTACCTTGCAAAAACTTGAGTGTTTTTCATTGGCGGTTTCACGACCGAACAAGGAACATCTAAAGCAGTGTGGAAAGTGATACCCTCCCGTAAAATCCAGTGTAAGCAATTGGGTATGTAAGTGATGATATGTGAAGGTCAGATACAACATAAGAGAACGAACAGCATCCCGAAGATCAAGGAATACTGCTGGAGAATCTGACGGCAGGGAAACTGTCTCACATCTGGCCTTTATGAAACGAAAGTTATTGTTCAAAAAAATTTAAAGATTTCAGGACTTGAGTTGTTGAAGTAGATTGTCCGCCTCGTGTTTCTCTCTCTTAGCAGCGGGAACAAATGTCTTCCCTCGGGTGCCGGTTCAGCATCGGTTTCCCAATGCAATCCATCAGTTTCGGCTGCGGGTGTGGACAGGAGGGAACTGAATGCGGATCAGTGCATCTCCACCCTTCTCAAGTGGAGGCCGGATTATGTCCCACAACAAAGGGTTTTGGATCAAACCAACTCCCCCCACCCCCCTCCCACCCCACACCTCCTCTATGTGAATCGACTTGCTCTGATTGGACGACCAATGAGTCAGAAAACAGGTTTTGAATAGAAAAATCTGAAATGTACTTTATAGGCATTCGGTGACTAAGCATCTGTTATAATTATAATAATGATAATAATTTGGTCGTCTGATCCCTGTCTTTGCTTTTGCAGCGACCTTTATCTGTCCAGAGGTTGAATCTCTCTTTCGGATCCAGTTTAGTGCTCGACTCTTAATTCCTTCGGCTCTCTGCTCACTGTTGGCCTCCTTTTGCCGAAGGTAGAGGAATTGGGGTCATAAGGAAGAAAGTCGGACCGGCACTGTTGACCTTTCCCCTCCTTCTCTCTCTCCTTTTCCCCTCCCTTCTCTGTGCAAAGCTCACCTTTTCTTTTTTTGCCCCATCTGATCAGTCTGCCCCTGGAGGAGTTGTAATAGTCGCAATTATCAGACAAAGACTTCGGCCTCGCCCAATTTATTTTCTTTTCAGTTCTTTAAATTCCTGAAGGAAACTAAGTTCAAGTAAGTTACAGGCAGTCCTAATGTAGCTTCCTGTAGAGTTTATTATTATGCCATTACCATCGGATTACTTCAAAACAACAATATTATCGTTTATCGCAATAACGTCTGGGGCAATTTATCTTCCAGCAGTGTGACAGGCCCGCTTGCTCATTTTATAAAATTTTTTTTGTGTGTGTGCTGAGGCCTTCCCTCTGTTTATTTCTTTTGTTTTTTGTTTTTTCTCCTCACAGATAAACCGGTTATGATAATAACAGAGTAATTTAGATGAGTACCAGCTGAAAAGCCATTGAACCAGGTGTTTTTCAGGCTGTTTCTTTCAGAATCAAGTCTTAAGTTTGTTGGGTTTAAACCTTTGCTGATGTTTACTTGGAGTAAAGCTGATATGTAACTCTTATGTAACCAAGAAATGTGATTTATCAAAACGACACGCCCCTTAGTGGCGGCGTTATTTTTCCCAAACCTTTCTTTAGGACCTCACATTGAGGGCCACACTTTCCCATGCCCCTGCTGCACCTGGTCGACCAGCCGATGATTTCTAACAAGAGCTGCTTGACCTTTATCAGCTAAGCTTGTGGGCAGCCGTATGAGCTGATTAAGCCCCGCACGCTCCGACCTCATCCACCCCGACCTCCATCATGCGTCGACCGACCACCAGCAACCTGCCGTCCTTTATATTATTATAAAGTCAGGAAATGAAAGGTTCAAATTATCCTCATGTAGGACAAGTTTTAAACATTTATGAAGGTGTTGAGGCATGTATACCAAAAATGACCAAAAGGTCAGATCTCTCACCCCCTTGTGACCCTTCGGCCTCGGACCAAAACACCAACCATGTGGGTTTTTTGAAGTTTTAAGAGCCTCATGTATGTAAGCTTATTTCTCTCACAAGGCAGCTTATAAAAGCTCTTTCTTTGGTGCTCTGGTGTGAAACCTTTGGATGATGTTCCATCGCTATCTGAGGAATGTCACCCATTGAACTCAATGCTAATCTGCAATTCACATGGAGTTTAGGAGGTAATAAGTCTGCCTTAAAAAAACAGGCTGGATCAGAATGTTGGTTCTTCTTACTTCTAAGGCAAGTCATTTCACTTCATCCAATGAGAGGTTTTATATAAATTGGTTCTTACCTAATATGTCAATCAATATAAGACCAAATGACAAATAGGTGTGTAATTCAAGGTCTAGAATGTCGGCTGCAGTGCCATCTAGTGGCACAAACGGCAGATTGCAACCAATTCAATACTGTGTCTTGATTTTCCAACAGTGGTCACAGAAAGAGAAATGATTGCAAAAGTACTTTGATATGCAAAATAATTGGGAATTGTTATGTTTGCATCAACTCCCGAGATTTAGACTAACTATAAAACATATTTTGTAGCTAGACTATTAAAAGGTCTTTCTGAATTTGTATGCTTAACATATCAATCGCTATGAATTGACAGCGATTGATATTTTAAGCAACATTTATTGTTAATTTAATACTCCACTAAAAACTCACTAAAATTGACCATGTAATATATATATATTTTTTACATCTTTCACAGGCATTTTTATTTGTTTGTAATATTAAAAGTGTGTCATTCAGTCACATTCCTTGTTTTTGTTATTTTTTTCAACCTTTTCCTTCTCAAACCCTGGTTATCTGTGGACATCTTTCTTGTGATTATGAGGATTTCCCTAATTGAGTGTAGAAAACACAACAGGAATTGTCAAAATTTAGCAATAAGAATGATCAAAATGCAAAGAGAGGAAAGATTTTTTTTAGCCGATTTAATTAATCCTTTCTTTTTACCTCTTGGCTTATTATTTAGTCAGAAGGCACCGTTATCTTTTTTGTCTACTCAAAGTAATTTTGCAGCTGGGGTTCATAGGGCTGCATGACCTGGTAGCTTGAATGTTTAAGGTGGTGAGTGCTTCGTAGAAATGTGGTTGTTTATTGGTGGAAAGCTTTAGGGGGCATAGTCTTCATGACTGCCGGACATCAAAATACCCTGAAATGTATCAAATATGTTCTTTTTTTAAAGATGTCCTTCAGATAAATTTTAGGCACTGATTCTGATTCTGACTCTGGTTGTGGACACATTTTGAACCAGTTACTGATTCGCTGGTAAAGTTCAAGAAAAGGTCTACTGTCATTGCTGGAAGAGAAAAGTAAGATAAGATTAAAAAAAAACAAAAAACTTTCTATCTTAAAAACAAGTTTGCTCGTCAAATTAGCAATTACAGACTTTCTAAATGTGAATTAGTAAACAGCTTGTTTTGTTTTTGTTGCTGTATTTAGACAGTCGTGAAGTTTTGGGAAGTGCCTCGGTGAAAAGCCACATTGATTTACTTCCTATCTTTTGTTTTTATCTGTTTCTTACAGGGTGAAACGTCTGACGAACCGTGCGCAGGCCTGGACTGCAGCAGAGGGTGCAAGTGCTTCCCAGAGAAAGGCAGCAGGGTGAGTCGGCTGCATGGTCTCTAAAATCAACCTCTGTCTAAAAAAACAAACAAACAAAAAAAAAAAAACGGAGAACACGATGTTAGCACAGACAATACTCCCCTCTGTCTCCTCGGGTTATCGAGTATATAGCTGAAATATTTTTCATTTATTAATCATTCGCCGTCTAGAAATCAGACAGTAATTAGCCATGTAATGTGCTGTTCCATCACAGCGGCAGACATATAAATGCAAGAAATAAAATTAAGCTCATATTAAGGTTCATTTTGTGGTGGTGAAGCTCTTTACGCATGTCGATGGTATTTCGTCTCTGTCATAGCTGATCTAGGTAATTACAGAACAATTAAATTACGTGGTTAATGTTAAATTCTTACAGTTTTTACTATTTCATGCCCCCATCTTCAGATTTTCTGATAACTATTATTGTCTGTGCACGTTTTAGATGAGCCTGTGTGCACAAATATTTGTGGCTTATTGAAACATTAGATGGCAGGAATTAGTTAATTGTTTCCCCTGAAGGGCATTAACTGAATTTATAAACAATACAAACCCACAACTCCTTGTTTAATCTTAGATTGTGCTGTTTTTAGCAAGTTGGGGTACTTTATCTGCACCCAGGCCCCCCTCAGGCTCACATTTACATTCTTATCCATTTACATCAGGTTTGCATATCACCTGCAAACATGAAAGTGTGGTCTGTGTTAGTCTGTAGAATGCATGTTTCAACAATCCCTCTCTGTGCGGAGTAACGGGGTTCCTTCAGGAGTGGGAATACGATCAAATCGAGATGAGTAGCTGCAGGCAAAGAATTCATTTTCTTGTCAAGAAAATGGGATTGACATTTTCTTCGGATTGTTTTTGTTTTGATGTTACTTCGTCACCAGTAACATCAAAACAAAGCTTTGCCAATTGGACGCTGGCGGATCGTGCTCTGCAGGGGCGCACAAACCTCCCGGCCGTCGGCCCTAACGGAGCAGCAATCGGAGCAGCAATCGGAGCAGCAATCGGAGCAGCAATCGGAGCAGCAATCGGAGCAGCAATCGGAGCGCTACGACTCTGCTGATTTATAGCCGCAACTTGCAGTGACGCCTACATTTTCTGGATGCTTTGCAGTTTGGTACAACGCTGCTACCTTCAGATATAAATTCTCGCGCATTGACAAGCTCCCGAACATGTGTGAGTGTCACCGGGTCACGGTGTGAGTTATAGAGGCGAAAGTTCCTCTAAGGTCAAAAAGGGATTAGAAAAGCATTGTACTTAGTCCGACTTCAGCAGTAACCCTGCAGCAGCTTTCTGCCCATTATTAACTCGATCTTGTTTACATTCCATCAGAAATGGGAAGGGTTTTATTGTCACTAATTATATTTTTGAATCCTTGGAAACAGTGAAGCCAGATTTTGATTTAATATCTGTCTGACTTTACCGACGTGTTTCGTCTGTTGGGAAAGGACAGAGTTGGATGAGTGCAGCATATTTCAGCGAAGAAGAACCATTTTATTGAAAATTTGCAAGAGCAAATTGAATAGCCATTGAAAATTGTGAGTGGGTTGAAAGATTCAAGGTTAAGCGCCTTTCCAAGCACTTCTTGCTGCACTGAAGGAGCAAAAGTCGAGAAAGTGGAGCAAGGTCATACCTGAATGTCTTTGAGCTCCAGTGGCCACACCTCACAGGCTTTGGTAGGAGGTCAAAACGTAACACCTGCCCTTGAAGGTTGTCGGTGTGAGAGGTGAAGGGTTTGCTCAAAGGCCATCCCAGGGAATGTGGTTTCTGCCGGTGGCAACATCTCACAGCAGACGGTCCAACAGACCCTGCATTTTCTGGACCTCGCCGAAACGAATAATAGAGGAAACCATTTCCATGAGTCGGGTAGAAAACAGAACCAACTTTCATCTGGACAGAGGAGGAGATTGTTCTGCGGTTTGGTGGGCGCGACACTGAAATGGAATCGTTTGCAGCCACATTTCCAGCATGTTGATGCCCACCAGGGTAGGCAACCTAATGAGAAGAGCTGCATCAAGATTCTCATCGATTCTGTTGAGACATCAATTGCAATTAGTGACCCTGAACACACAGCTGGTGTGGTAGCGTAATGGCTAATGCATCATGATACATTAAATGTTTCAAAGTTTAAAATGAAGTTTGAAGCAGCCCAGCCAGATCCCTGACTTGAATTTAATGGGGAATCTGGGGAAGGAGTTAAAGGTTGGGCTGAAAGCAGGAATACTTTACAACCTCAAACACTTTGGAGTTCATTGCAAAAGGTGAAAGGTCAAAGACACCAGTGGAGACATGCAAAAAGCCAAGAAAGGCTTTTGAAATCATTATAGACAATTGAACAAATGATTTTGATGTTTTTTTTTTTTTTTTTTTTTTTTTAATATAAACAAAAATAGAAAAACGTCTTTTTTTTTTTTTTTTTTTTTTTTTTTTACCATTTTGTGACACAGACCTTCAACCAGACACAGTCGCCCTGGGTTGAAACAGAATAACCTTTTGGGTGTGTGAATAACTTTGGCCTTAACTCTACTTAGAACTGAACTAAATTCCTGAACATGTGATTTAAAAAAAAAAAAAAAGTTATTCCTCTGTCCTTCCTTTCCCTTCTTCTACCCAGTTGGGAAGCAGCAAATGCATCCACAAAGACATTCCTTTCCTCGGTCTCCACATTACAGGTGACCGCTCCCCCCTTTTTCCAACTTAAACGCAGTGATGTCTTGATTTCACTGGCAGCGCGAGGCTTCTGTCTTTACCCTAAAACCAGACTAAAACCAGACTAAGTGTAAGCTTCACACTGTTGCTCGCTGCCCCCCCCCTCACCCACCCCCTTTAGCTCGGATCTAAACAACAATTACTGTCTGACACAGAAGCCTACACTTACTGCCCGACTACTGTACACCATTTTAGCTAAATAACACAGTGAAGAGCGCCTCATTACGCTCAGGTATCTATAGGTAAATGATCGGGTAACACTTGCCGGCTCTGCTCAGGCCTCCTGTTGGGCCTAAATGACACGGCCGCAACTACATTACATTCTTTAACTGTTATTGTTGGGAGTCCCGTCAGGGCTAAGGTGCTTATTTGTCTCTTTTCAGTTTTACTTTTGTTGTTGGACCATGGAGAGGGCAATGTCGGTGTGTTCTTAATCATGGCTGTTAACGCCACTGAAGTCCACAGGTGGGACGGCGTTAAAGGGCTCTGTGCCACACAGGTCCTGAGTCAACAGCAGCTCAGTGTTATTGATTTGGATTAAAGCTGCAGTGTGTAGCTTTTATGAAGAATACATTTCTTACATGTTTGTTTAAACTTTTACCGTGAGGCAGGTAATCTGTGAAACGATCAGTCTCCTCCACCTCTTCCCTACCAGCGGTGTTTGAAGAAATCCTGGGCAAAAACAACCAATCAGAGCCAGGAGGAGAAGGTTCTTAAAGCTGTCCATCACCTTCATGTACTCGCTGCTCAGTGTGCTAACGACTCAACGTCACAGGACAACCATTTATTTGCCGGCGACGGCGGCCATGCCAACTAGCCTTGGCATTCGCAGCAGGCTACGCTAGCTACAGCACCACATGGCACCACATGATTGTGATTGACAGCCATAAGACCCGCCCCCTGTTTCTGATTGGTTGGTTCTAGTTGGCGTTGGAAACACTGAAAAAATTGACAGCTTTAACGAATATGTAAAAAAAATAAAATAAAAGAACATTCATAAAAGTTGCACACTGCAGCTTTAAAGGCGGTGTGCAGACGGATCAGTTGTTTCCGAAAACTCAAATCACAACGTGCCGATTGCGCCTTCGTAAGATACGCATAGGATTAGGATGGGAAACGTCAAATCACATGACCCCCAGAAAGCGGAGTTCCTTTTGAGTCTGCTGAATTAATTAAAGTCAGAGAACGTCGACTGACGTGCGATTGTCGACGTCCGTCTTCTGGACCACAATCAATTGGTCGATTCCGTTCTGCTTCCCCCTCGTCGTTTTTTGTTTTCATAAGGAAACCTGCAGGTAAACTGCAGGCCTCCTTTCATGCAGAGGTGTGTTTGCAGGATATCTTGGCAGCCCACCAAAACATCTGCTAATGTTTGAGATTCATCAGGATCTGACAGGCTACCTGGAGAAGTACAAATGCTGTCACACAAGATTGAAGTGAAGTTTTGTTTATCCCCGAGGGAAAACTTTTATCCTCTTGCTACCGAAACCTTAGTATCTTTTTTTTTTTTTAATTGTTTTTAAGCCTATTAGCCTATTAGACATCTGAAATTTATGGATCTTCTCAAGTCAGTTCCAGGTTCGTTGCCACAGCAAATTTAGTTAACTACATCAGTAGTTAACTAAATTTTCATGCAGCAAGTCACTTGCCAATAATGTCAGCGATATATGTGATGTACAATAAAGCAATGAAACAACAAAACAAAGGCGTAATGCATAATGAAATAAATTATACGAGGTTAGTAGCAGAATACAAACTAATATTTTCTGCACAATTGGATTTAAATAGGTAATTTTTGTTTTTGTGGAGAGAAAGATTGTATTTTTCCAGTAATTGCAGCAAGTTGTCCAGGTTCTGAAGCTACAAACCAAGCCCAGATCACCACACTGCCACTACCGTGTTTCTGTGATTGTCTTAAGAGCAGTGTTAGTTTAACTTCAAACGGAACTGAAAACACACGGCACAGCTTTTTCAAAAAGTTCAACTTTTCTCATTCACACGGGAGAGAGACGCGTTTATTCGCCGATCACATTTTATTTGAAGCTTTGCTTCAGTCTTCAATAAAACCCTTATGCTATTGTTATAATTATATAATTCTATGTGTACTTGGCTAAGCAAAGTCCCCGACAAATAAATGCAAAATAACTGCCCATGTTTCCTGATGGCACAATTCATACACCCCCCCCCCATTTTGAGTGTTGCTGGTTTTTGTTGTAGTCTGACAATTTGCCAAACTTTACCACTCCGTAACAAGACCGAGAAAATTACTAGTTTGCATGCTGTTATTTAAA